TTTTTTTTTTTTTTTTTTATTTGTAAAAGGTTTCAGTTGCTGAAATTGGTCCTGTTTAATGATGTTTTCTTATGTTGTCCCTATGTTGTTTTGAGTTTATACTCTATATATTGTCTGTTTAAGGTTCATGTGGGTTTTTGCCTATGTTAAGCTGGATTTTCTGATCTGATTTGTCTTGTGATCTTGTTAGCAATCCTTTGATTTAGCTGCTTAGTATGGTTTGATGATCACGTTAATCTTCCTATTTAGAGATCTAGACTTTGCAGTTCATTAATTGGTACTCGAATATAATTTGAGGAAGATGCTGCGGTCCCGGAACTTTGTGACTGTTAGATCAACTATCTCTGACTCTGACTGTTACATGATGATCTAACGGTTAGAAACCCTGACACAGAATGGTTTCGTAATGACATTTCCCATAATGTGATGATGTTTGCTTGTGAATGTTCATTCCCTTTGTTTTCACCCAAAATAGGTTCTTTTCATAGATTACAACTCCCATCCCTTATTAATATTTCGGACTAAGACTCGTTTGGATATCTAATCGCGAGGTTTAAACTATCCGGTGCCGATAGTTTTGTCAATAGCAAGAATCTTTCCTTCGTGTAGAATTTCGAAAACCACACTTTCTTTGAATCATATTGCGAATCGTAATATGTGTAACGATGAATAAACCATTTTCTTGATGTGCAGAATGAAATGCCTCGTACCTTAGACTCGACAAACATTACTAGAACTGCTTCAAATGCATCGATCGAAAACCATGGAATTGAAATAGGTGTCGAGTTCAAGCCGATCGAGCACCCAACCGAGCCTCTCGACTATGATCAACCTATCCAGTGTCCATTACCGGAGCCCTCAATTCTTAATGTAAGCTTTGTTACCTGAGAATTTTTGTTGATGATGATTAGCTTGCAATCGCTTTATCAACACTTCAGTAATTTGGTTCAGATAGTTATTTCTGTGAATAGTACTTGGATTAATTACAGTTAAAGCTTCTTCACCATTTTGTTCCGATGCTTACAACTATCATACATACAGCTTATTCGAAGTTCTTGATTCTATTTTATTTTTTCTCATCAACTAAAAAAAAAAAAAATTCATTTTCTGGTAATAATCAGGATGGAAGAATATGGAAAGAAAGAGTGTCGGCAAGTGTAAAGACAAGGGCCGAGGGCAATAATGTACCGAACACTCATCGAACAAAAACTCGGGCCCACAACCGAGTCATTTTGCCGTCTGTCAGTGCTCCCGAACATAACATCCTTAAACTGCTCGAAGAATGTAATGCATCTGGGATTAGCTTCAACAGCTGATCATTCACACTCTCCAAAACCTTTTGGTCCTACAATTCTCTTCTGTATTTGATAGTTGCATATTTACCATGCCCCTGTATATAAAAATGTATTCTTGTTGGACATTGTGAAGACTTGTAAGTTGTGGCTTATATCATTATATGTGTGAGCGTGTGCGTGCGTGCGTGTGTGTGTGTGTGTGTGTGTGTGTGTGTGTGTGTGTGTGTGTGCAGTTGTTGAAGATTGCCAAAGGAAATCAAATGAACCATGTAATAAGTGGCTAAATAAAAAAATAGTAGTGCAATTATTTCAGAAATATTAAAATTCAAAATTTCAACTTTTATTTTTTGAAAAAATATTTTTTAACTAACATTTGTACAATAAATGAGTGTTTTACCACTACTATTTCATATGTAAAATTAAACATTACAAATTTATTATTTTTAATTTAAAATTATTTTATTCTTGAAATTAAAGCTTAGCTCTTAAACTGGGCCAATAAATACACCAGTTTTTTCACTTTGTCCATGCTCCTAATCTCCTTCGAGAGCCGGGCCAGCTATTGGGCTTAAGAAAAGTAATATTTTATTTGGGCTTAGCATTCTCTAAAGCGGGTCATAAAACCCACCATACGTTTCTTCCTAAAAAAGAAAGAGTTCGAAGCTGAATATACTGTCGAGTAAAATCATCAGCTTCTCTCCGCTCTCCACTCTCTCTCTAAAATTTCCTACCGGTGAGCAGCTCCGTTTGAGCTTAGATTGTGCGGCGGAAGGAGAAAAATCGATGGCGGCGCTGCAGTATTTGGAGACCCTGCGGAATGCGCACCCGGAGCTCTCCGAGTGGTACAACGCGCTTTCAGATCTGTACCAGAGGAAGCTATGGCACCAGCTCACGCTCAAGCTTGAACAGTTTGTCGCCCTCGCTTTGTTTCAGGTTTTAATCGACCAGATGCGTACGGATTAGATTGTGGTTGTTTTGTGGATTGTTACTTGATATTTTTCCTTCGTTATGCTCTAGGCAATTTGTATCGCTTTAATTCCGTGTTCTTCAATTTAGTGGAGTACTGGATTTGCTCTTGCGTTTTAGTATGGAAATAGGTTGAATTTGGGATGCAGTTTTAGGTGTTAGGTTTTAGGGTTTTGCTGTAGGGCTCTTTATGGTTTTTTGCGGCTTAGTTAGGTGTCTTGGGGTGGTGTTTTAGGTACGTTTTTTTTTCGTTCTCTGCGTCCAAAGAGATGGTGACAAATTTTGCTTATGCTGTCTCGTGGGTATAGGAAAATGAGAATATAATTCATTTAAGAGCTGGGCATATTAGGGTAATTTGTATGAAATTGTTTAGTGTATATGTTTTCCATGGAAATTGGAATTCACTGGGGGTAAACTGACATGTTCTTTCTGTAAGGGAGTGTGGCTGAATGAATTGAAGTTACCACTCAGGGAAGTCACAAGAACTTAGTATATATATTTGTCATTGTTGCTAGCCATTGGGCTAACGGAGTCTTGAACATAACTGGCTCTGCATTCACCTCATGAAAACCTTACTAAATATAAAACCTTTAAGTTCCTTGTTCTCTTATCCATTTTTTTTAATTACATTTTTCATAAAACAGAAGATTCTGTCGGTTTTCCATTACTTAGTACTTAATTCGTCTTCATTTTGTGCTTTGGTTCAGGCTGGGGATGCTCTAATCCAGCTGTACAACAATTTCATAAGTGAGTTTGAGACAAAGATTAATCTTCTCAAGCTCGCTCATTTTGCTGTCATAGTTTCTCGACAGTATTCGGAGAAAGAGGCCGCTATAAACTACCTTGAAGGAGTGATTGAAAAGCTTCGGAATACTAGAGAATCACGCATTGAGGAGCCAATACTCTATATCAAAATGCAGATTGGTCTATCCAAGCTTGAGCAGGGAGATCAAAAGGAATGCAAAAAACTTTTGGATGAGGGGAAGAGTTCGCTTGACAGTATGACCGACATTGATCCATCTGTATATGCCAGCTACTATTGGGTTTCATCTCAGTATAATAAATCCCGTCAAGAATTTGCAGAATTCTACAGAAGTGGTCTCCTTTATTTAGCTTACACTTCTGTAGAGTCTCTATCAGAACCATTTAAGCTGGTAGGCTATCTTACATCCTGTTCTTGAGTTTAGTAATCTCAATATACTTCTGTTCATAGTAAGGTTGTCTCAGCTCTCTAACCAAATTTGATTGCAAATGTCCTTGACCCATGCTTGTAAGAGTTTAGAGATTAGTATTGGGGTTTGTATATTGAACCTGGTTTATGTTGGATTTTTGTCGATGTCGATGAATATGAATCTTCTGGGCTTTGGCTTGAGTGTGAAAAAATAACCAGGTTGTCAAAGCCAAATTATCACAACCTGGATTATGTTGGATTTTTTACCCAAGCAACCTAGTTGTGATAACTCCTGTCTAGTATTCTAGTAATGCTCTTGTTGTTTGTTTTTTCAGGATTTGGCATTTGATTTGTCTCTCTCAGCCTTATTGGGGGACAACATCTACAACTTTGGCGAACTTCTTGCCCATCCGATTGTAAGTACTTGTCCTGCGGTTCTCATTTGCCTACCAGATTTATTCAGCGTAGAAATGTGATTGTTATGCCATGATGGTATGTCGACGTATTGATATAGAAATTATTTTTATTGAATTCGATTCGACATTATGCGACTTAAAAGAATATGACATAAATGCAGTCTTTTAAAGATTTCTGCTTTCAACCGGTACATACAAATGTTGATGTCTCGGGCATTCATTTTTTTCCTTTGGACATATAAAGGATTACAAACTTGTCTATATTGCCAAGATCCTTGCATTGATTGCACCTTGCCATATTTTACCCCTTAATTTGAATAGTTATGCAATGGGTTTATTTGCTTAGATTACAAGATAGTCCCGGGATTTGATGACGATGGAAGCTTAAGGTCATAGGGGTTTGAGTGGTAATTTTTATTTTCATACCAATCAAAGGAGACACCACTTTCTTTGGCATGTTGTGTTGCATAATTTTTGTATGGGTGGATGAGACTGGGGACCTATGTGCTTGCCACTAGCTCACCTTACGGATGAGATATCCGTCTTCTTGAGCTGATTTTTTTTCCTGGGCGATCATGGCAGATAAAAAGCCTTTTGGGGACTAAACTTGAGTGGCTTTACTATGTTCTTGAAGCTTTCAATACTGGTGATTTAACGCGCTATCAAGAACTATGCCGTGTACATGGAGCTGCTTTGAGTACCCAACCAGCATTAGTCCAGAATGAGAAAAAGCTTGTTGAAAAGATCAACATTCTGTGTTTGATGGAGATTATATTCAGGTGAATTGATGTTGTTTGTTGGCGAGTTACTTTCATTATTGTAATATTGTGGTTTTTTTTTTTCCATTTCATTGAGAATACACCATTTGCTTACAGCCGGCCGGCAGAGGATAGGACAATCCCGTTGAGTGTCATTGCTGAGCAAACGAAACTTGCTGTAGAAGATGTCGAGTATCTTCTCATGAAGAGCCTTTCGGTATATATATTTGCGTGAATATAATTGATGTTTTTAGACGTAATTAATTGCTGAATGAAACTCGTTTTTTTTGGCAGGTGCATCTGATAGAGGGAATCATTGACCAAGTCGAGGGTACGGTTTATGTGTCGTGGGTACAACCTCGGGTTCTAGGAATACCACAGATCAAGTCGTTACGTGACAAGCTGGACAATTGGGTGGACAAGGTGCATACTGCTTTGTTGTCGGTCGAGGCTGAAACACCCGATCTAGTTGCAGCTTAAACTTTTTTTTTTTGGCTTTTGTCACTTTTGATACTCGCCAAGGAAAAACCGTAGTTTTGAATTACTTGGGTCACGTATGCGGTTCTTCTCTTTCGATGCTCGTCTTTTTTGCTTCTTTTGTGTGTTTTTTCTAGTGACTTTTCTCTACGATGAGTAATCGGCGATGGATTTCTTTACATGTTTGGATGCTAGATAGCATACAATACTTGTATTAGTAATACCTTTATACTTTTCTGGAATTTTTTGTGTTCTTGAGTTTGTGAATCTATGGTGTCACGTATCAAATGAATTTCCAGCCGTACTCGGGATTCAGGAATCCCGCAGCAGAAAGCTAATGTTATTGCTATTCGTTCTACCCTAAGGCAAATTATTCCCAATTTGTGAGATCGGATGTTTGATTATTTTTGGAAAAAAATAATGTTTGAATGAAAAAATTGCCTACATTTTTTTTTATTCTTTTTTTTTTTGGTTTTTTGTAGAATAATAAAATATTTTTGAAATTGTTAAGTAATATGAATTGAAATGTAATGATTATAATTAATGCGGTAGAAAAATAGTAAAATAGAAAAATAAATAGTTAATAATTAAAAAAATCTTATGTTGATGAATAGTATTTTTCATTGGAAAATGTATAGTGATGAGTGTTTTTTATTATTTAATTATATTAATAAGACTATAATGGTAAAAGTTGTTTTTTATTTAATTATAAAATTATATTAATAAGACTAATGGTCAAAACGGTTTTTTTTTTTTTTTTTTTTTTTTTTTTTT